GGAGACATGTGAGAGCTCAGACAGAAACAGCCCATAATAATGACAGAATCCAGACTCTCCAGACCGGCAGTCGAACAGGGATTATAAAAGTGTGAGAGTGAATAATGGATGCTGTTCATGAAAACCAAACCTGTGTGTGTGTGTGTGTGTGTGTGTGTGTGTGTGTGTGTGTGTGTGTGTGTGTGTGTGTGTGTGTGTGTGTGTGTGTGTGTGTATGTGTGTGTGTGTGTGTGTGTGTGTGTGTGTGTGTGTGTGTGTGTGTGTGTTTAAATCTGTACTGTAGGTCTGTGTTTGAGTTTGAGCATGTGTGTTTGTGTGTGTGTTTGAGTGTGTGTTTTTCAATTCAGTTCCACTTTATTCACGCTTTTTTAATGTAGATTGTGTCAAAGCAGCTTCACATAGAAGATCATAGTGAATTGAGACAGTGTAGTTCAGCTTTTAGAGTTCAGTTCAGCTCAGTTCAGTGTGGTTTAATATTCACTACTGAGAGTCCAAACACTGAAGTGTAATCCATCAATGCGCAGCTCCACAGATCCGAAACCATGCAAGCATGTGGTGACGGCGGAGAGGGAAAAACTTCACTAATTGGCGAAAGTGAAGAATAAAAAACCTGGAGAGACACCAGGTCTCAGATGAGCACAACCATTTCTCCTCTGGCCAGGGCCGGCGCTTCCATAGAGGCGACCTAGGCGGCCGCCTAGGGCGGCAGAATAGAGAGGGCGGCGTCCCCGAAACTACCCTCGCCACCCGCGCCCTCATCCGCATCTAGGGTGGCAGAATAGAGAGAGCGGCGTCCCCGAAACTATCCTTGTCACCCGCGCCTCAGTTATATCGGCGTCTAGCGCGGCAGAATAGAGAGGGTGGCATCCCCTAAACTACCCTCGCCACCCGCGCCTCAGTTATATCGGCGTCTAGCGCGGCAGAATAGAGAGGGTGGCATCCCCTAAACTACCCTCGCCACCCGCGCCTCAGTTATAGCCGCGTCTATGGCGGCAGAATAGAAAAAATACACCCCCGGTTTCACTTTAGGTTTGAGGGCGGCGTGACCGTCCTTTGCCTAGAGTGGCAGTTCAGCTTGATCCGGCCCTGCCTCTGGCCAAACGTCTTGTGCAGAGCTGCAGTCTTGGCGCCAGAGGCTGGAAGCTGGCCTCAGCGAGACTCTTCTCTCCCAGGAGCGTCACAGGAATCAGTCTCACGCTCTCCACTCCTCCATGACCACCACAGCAGCTGCTCAGGATAAGGCCTGGTCCGCAATTGTGGAAACCTTGGGATTGTCTCTTCACAGGTCTTGGATCACATCAGTTGCCCTAGTGGAATGTAGAGAGACTTTCAACCCAAAACACAACAAAACTAGTTTCTGAAGACAGTCCCCTACTCCAGCTTTAAATCTGAAGTCATTCATTCATTCATTTTCTGTCGCTTTTCCGGGGCCAGATTGCGGGGGCAGCAGTCTTAGGAGGGAACCCCAGAATTCCCTCGCCCCATACACTTCCTCCAGCTCCTCCGGGGGGATCCCAAGGCGTTCCTAGGCCAGCCGAGAGACATAGTCCCTCCAGCGTGTCCTGGGTCTTCCACGAGGCCTTGTCCCGGTGGGACATGCCTGGAACACCTCCCTAGGTAGGCGTCCATGAGGCATCCGAAACAGATGCCCGAGCCACCTCAGCTGACTTCTCTGGATGTGGAGAAGCAGCAACTCTACTCTGAGCTCCTCCCGGGTGTCAGAGCTCCTCACCCTATCCATAAGAGTGCGCCCTGCCACTCTGAGAAGAAAACTCATTTCGGCTGCTTGTATCTGAGATCTTGTCCTTTCAGTCATGACCCAAAGCTTATGAGCATAGGTGAGAGTAGGAACGTAGACTGACCAGTAAATCGAGAGCTTTGCCTTTCGGCTCAGCTCCTTCTTCACCACAACGGACCGATACATCAACCACATCACTGCTGCCGCTGCACCGATCCACCTGTCAATCTCACGCTCCATCCTTCCCTCACTCCTGAACAAAACCCCAGGATGCTTGAACTCCTCCACCTGAATCTGAAGTCTTCTGAATAATGATGGGAAAAAAAAGACTAAAGATAAAAAGCGAAATAATTTTCTGAACATTATTCTAACATTCTGACAACAGACAGTGAAGGAGCATCATATTAATGTTACTAGGAGGAATGTTTGGATAACCTATGGAGAACTTTCTGACAACATTCCTCGATGTTGTGTGTGTTAAATATTATATCAGTTCCAGTCTGAAATATTCAGGCATTAAGATGTCAGCCTGTCGAGCCTGAAATGCGTCTCTCAGATTATTTTAGCAGAGCCGCCAGTTTATTTCAGCATAACAAGATATTTTTACATGATTCAGAGGAGAAACTTTCAGATGAGAACATGAAACCTGTCTGTACACTGCAGAAACTCCTGCTCCTCCTCAGTGTGTGTGTGTGTGTGTGTGTGTGTGTGTGTGTGTGTGTCTGCTCTTCCCCTACAAGTATTGAAACATCAATGAAGATCTAGAATATTTATACTTATTATTTTTTATTATTTGAAATTTATGACATATCAAGCATTTACCAAGGTTAGGAAAAGTATATTTTGGGTGCTTTTATATGTTTACATATTAGGAATGTTTCTTTTTAATTATTTTAATAAAGATATAAGGATGTTATATAACATTCAAATACTCTATTAACATTTTAAACATTTATTTAAGGTTGTGAGCAACATAATTCACAGTATTACATTCCTATAGTGAAATTAAAGTGTCCTTTCAGCATTTATGTTCATGTAATATGTCCTTTCAGCAGTTGTGTTACCCTAGCAACTATTAAATTACAACAACAGATCAGTTACTATAGTTGTAATACCACGGCAACAATAGACTTCCCACAACATAGCATTGATTTCTGTACTAGTTGTGTTACCGTAGCAACCATAGAATTACCACAACAGATCAATTACTATAATTGTGGTTACCATAGGAACTATAAATTACCACAGCAAATCAATTACTAAAGATGTTGTGTTTCCATAACAACTATAACACAGCAGATCATTTACTAAAGGTGTTGTATCACTGTTGCAACTATAGAATTACTACAACACATTACTATAATTGTTGTTACCATGAGAACTAGAAAATTATTATAGCAAATTAATTACTATAGATGTTGTGTTACCATAGTAACTAGAGAACAAGCACAACAGATCAATTACTATAACTGTAGTTACCATGGCAACTATAGCATTACCACAACACATTAGTCATCGTTGTTGTCATAGGAACTAGAAAATTATCACAGCAAATCAGATACTGTAGAAGTTGTGTTACCATAGCAACTGTAGAACAACCACAACAGATCAATTACTATATGTGTGGTATCACCATAGCAACTGTAGAATTACTACAACAGATCAGTCACTATAATTGTAGTTACCATAGCAGCATTACCACAACATATTACTATCATTGTTATCATAGGAACAATAAAATTACCACAGCAAATCGGTTACTGTAGATGTTGTGTTACCGTAGCAACTAGAGAACAATCACAACAGATTAATTTTTACAGTTGTTGTATAACCGTAGCAACTGTAGAATTACTACAACAGATCAGTTACTATAATTGTTTCTACCATAAGAAATATAAATTACCACCGCAAATCAATTACTATAGATGTTGTGTTACCATAGCAGCTATAGAACAACCACAACAGATCAATTACTACAGTTGTATCACCCTAGCAATTACAGAATTCCCACAACAAATCGATTATTTTAGATGCTGTGTTAACATAGTAAATTTACAAGCCCAACAGATCAATTACTATAATTGTAGTTACCATAGCAACTAAAGAATTACCACAACACATTACTGTCATTGTTACTTTATGAACTATAAAATTACCACAACAAAACAATTATCGTAGATTTTGTGTTACCATAGCAACTATAGAACAACCACAACAGATCAATTACTACATGTGTATCACCATAGCAACCACAGAATTACCACAAAAGATCAATTACAATATTTGAGGTTACCATAGGAACTATAAAATTACCACAACAAATCAATTACTATAGATGTTTTGTTACCATAGCAACTATAGAATAACTACAACAGATCAATTACTATAATTGTGGTTACTATAGCAGCATTACCACAACACTTTACTGTAATTGTTGTTACCTTAGTAACTATAAAATTACCAAAATAAATTAATTACTCTAGATGTTGTGTTACGATAGCAACTATAGAACAACCACAACAGATTAACTACTATAATTGTGGTTACCATAGCAGCATTACCACAATACTTTACTGTAATCGTTGTTACCATAGAAACTATAAAATTACCACAGCAAATCGATTACTATAGTAGTTGTTTCACCATAGCAACTAAAGAATTGCCACAACAGAAAAAAAAACTATAATTGTGGTTACCACAACAACTATAGAATTACTACAACACATTACTATAGTTGTTGTCACCATAGGAACTATAAATTAAACACAGCAAATCAATTTATACAGATGTTGTTACCCTAGCAACTATAGAACAACCACAACAAATCAATCACTACAATAGTTGTGTTACCATAGCAGCAATAGAATTACCACAATAGTTCAATTACTTTAATTCTGGCAACCAGAACAACTATACTGTAGTCGTTGTTACCATAGGAACTGTAAAATTACCACAGCAAATCGGTTACTATAGATGCTGTGTTTCCATAGGAACTTTAAAATCACCCCAACAAATCGGTTACTATAGATACTGTGTTTCCATAGGAACTATAGAACAACCAAAACAGATCAGTTTCTACAGTTGTATCACCGTAGCAACTATAGAATTACCACATCAAATCAATTACTATAGATGTTGTGTTACCATAGCAACTGTAGAACAACCACAACAAATCAATTACAGTTGTAGTATCACCATAGCAACTATAAAATCATCACAACAGCTTGATTCAAGAGCTCTAGTGTGGTTCAAAAGCAGTGAGGTGTTCACTGTAGTAGTTTTGTCCTGTGGTTTGTCAGCTGTAGTGTTCAGTGTTGACTCCCCGCGACCCGCTGTGTGTTCAGAGGCGCTGCTGGGCGGAGACACGGAGAGATGAGGATGATGATGCTCCTCTTCTCCTCATCTTCATCTCACACTCCTGCAACATCACAATGACGGACATCACACACGCGCGCGCTCTCTGTCTCTGTCGGCGAGAACACTCGTCTCTTTGACTCTCATCATGACGCGCTTTGACACGATAATCGCGCACGACGCTTCAGATGAACACCAGTGACAGGCAAATGCCACTTTCACGCAGAATGGTGAGTGAGTGTGTGTTTTCAGCTCTCAGGCTGATCTCTGTTGTTTCTGTGCTGTTATTTTGCCTCGTGCGTTTCAGCGTCGCTTCAGTTTCCAGCTCGAGCCGTCTCGGTTGTACTTCAGTGCTCGGGTTTATTGTGTTTCATGGCTTCGCACATGTTGCTGTACGCATGTTTTACTACAGTATATCTCATACAATAATAGAGAAAGTCCGATCTGGTGTACAAGTCGAAAAAAAACCTGTAAAGAGAAATAAATGCAGCATCCTTTCATCAGGTTAAGAAAGCAAAGTGAACAGAAATCAAAGTGAACATGTCTGACTCATGCATTGATACAGAAGACTTACAACATGATTAGTTTAAAGTAAATTGCATGGCTACGTTTGACTGTAATAGTAAATTGCATTATTTAATTTGACTGAACAGTAAATCACATGAGTACTTTTGACTATAACAGCACATTGCATGATTTTCTTTGGCTATAAGAGTTAATTGCATGAGTTCTTCTGACTTTTATGCTTAAAAGAAGTGAAAATCTTTCAAGGTGACCTCAAAGTTGTGAGTGATTAAGTCAGGAGCTGAATAAAAGGGCTTGCTGCATGCAAAAAAACAGCGTTTTTTTGTTTTACATTAGCATTTAATATGTGAATTATTATTTGTTTAAACAGATTAGATTGAGAGTAGTTTGATTTAATATTAAATTACATTTTGGCCCCGAAACACTAATCATCTGATCATCTCTTGCCTCTGTCCCTTATATAAGTATATTTCAGCCGCTTGTCAGCAAGAAGTTTTCTCATCATTTCAAACAGACTCTTGTTCAGTTTGATCAGACTTTCTTTTACATGTTTTAATAAGTTCAGCTCTGAACAAGTCTTTTATTACTATTATTTCACACTGAATGCACATAGTCCTATATCAATACTAGAGAAAGTCTGATCTAGTGTACAAGTTGATAAAAATGTATAAAGCAGAATAAATGCAGCATCCTTTCATCAGTTTTAGAAAGCAAAGTGAACATGTTTGACACATGACTTGATACAGAAGACTCACTACACGATTAGTCTAAAGTAAATTACATGGCTATTTTTTACTGAAATAGTAAATTGCATTATTTATTTCGACTAAACAGTAAATCGCTTGTCTACCTTTGACTATAACAGTAAATTGCATGAGTACTTTTGACTTTTATGCTAAAAATAAAAGAATAAGAAGTGAAAATCCCTCAAGGTGACCTGAAAGTTGCGAGTGATTAAGTCAGGAGCTGGACAAAAGGGTTTACTGTATGCAGAAATCAGCTTTTTTGTTTTACGTTAGCATTTAATATGTAAATTACATTATATTTTAAACATTTTAGATTGAGAATAGTTTGATTAAACATTCAATTACATTTTAGACCCAAAATATATTGATAATTGTCATCTGAGATCTCTATACTTTGCCTCTATCCCTCATATAAGTGTTACAAGAAGTTTTCTCATCATTTTTTTATTTTTTTTATTTATGATTTATTTAACATTTTTCCATTTTACAAACATATCAAACAACCCTTACAGATATAATAATAGAAAAAATATATAAATATAAATACAAATAACATATTGATAAAAAAGTGAATAAATAAATAAATTAAATAAAAAGAAGATAGTAATAAAATCAAATCAAATTAACAATTAATGCGAGGCAGATGTCTACATTTATACAGTAATCTCAAATGTTACATTTCGAGTGATGAAAGATTACAAACTGATGTACTATTGTGGTCAAAAGCTGAGGTGATCAGTCTAGATCCAGCTGAACAGTTTTAACATAGAAAGAAAGGGCATCCCAAATTTTGGCAAATGTTCTGTCTTTGAAGGGAATATCTTTCTCATCATTTTTAACAGACTCACATTCAATTTGATCTGACTTTCCTTTACGTATTTTATCAAGTTCAGCTCTGAACAAGTCTTTTATTATGTTCTTTTGTCATTTTACACTGAATGACACATAATGCACAGTAAATATATAGTTAAATATATAGTGAATATATTATCTGTATGCATATGAAAAAACACTTTGGTAAATTTGCTAAATTGACGTCTCGTCTTTGATCAGCTCTTTTATTTAAAGCATCTTAAAAGAGGACTATGGAGTTCCTTTAACCACTAGATAAAAAAAACAAACAATCAAATCCGTCTGTGCAGGTTTTAGGCTGAACATTTGTGTACTGGATCATCTGCTTAAATGATTTAAGTGCACATGAAATTCATACTTACAGTGTTTGTTTTGCTGGTATCGTTGGTTTTGCTAATCTTTAATGCCCATCTGCTTCCGCTCTTAAACAGCAGTCCTTCTCTGATGACTCTGATTGGGTGAAATATGCTTAGCCACACCCCTCTAGTTTGCTGTGAGTGAAATATGTCAAAGCGCAAAAACAAAAACCCGCCCCCCTGCTTAATATTCAGTTTCACTTGGAAAAACTTTATCATGCTGAAATAAAAGTCGGCAGCGATTTTCTGTTCATGGCACAGACTTTAAAAGTCACCTATGATTATAATCTAGAAGTGTGTGTAGATATAGAGTCCACAGCCATATTGGAGTGATATAAACCCAACAAGTCTCTTTTTAAAAATTCCCTTATGTTAAAATAGGATCCAAATCCCAATGGATTTCAGGCACACCGCAACGTGACGTGGGATTGAGGTTTTCCCCGCCCACAGAATTGATTGACAGGCGCCATGTTTCTATAATAACATGTATACACGTGTCCACAGAACTTTTTTTTCTCTCAAATGAACCGGGATTAAGACATTTGTTCCAACTCTCTGTGGTGTTTTATAAGTTTTAAAGTTTTAAAACAGAGCATTATTGTAATTAAGACAGTAAAATTGTTTATTTGACAAAATCTTTAAAAATATATTTTTAATGGAACAATATAATTAAAGTTTAAAGTAAACATCAATTCATATTTTATATATTTGAATTGCATTAATATATTTCCTTTGATCATTTGTTGGTTAGCATGAATTTAAGATTTGCATTACGAAATTACATTAGCTCACTACTAGTTGTAATTGTAGTTGTCGCGCGCGTACTGAAGATCGGTGTTGTCGCGCGCGTTCTCATCAGTGGTGTTGAAGCGCGAGTACTGTAAAGCGGGGGCATGGGGGAGTACTCTAAAAGGGCATGTGCACTGCACAGGTTGAACCCTATGTGTGCACGTGCCTGCTGTGGAAAGGCTGTCATCAAATTAAATAAAAAAATCCCAGTATCAGGGATCTAATGATTTGTCTTAATGTTTGCTTTATTTATTTATTTATTCATTATTTAATCTGAATAAGACAGTAATATGATCAAGGTGTTTACATGATTTGCTTTTTGAACGTTCCTTTCAGGCACGTGCACACATAGGGCCCAACCTTTTTAGTCTTGGATAGAAAGTGCCCTTCCAAAATGAACTGAAGTGCCCCCAAATCACCCCCCCCCCCCCTTATACTGTTCACGATCGACTCGCCATCCACTGCGACTTTAACTGCAGTTTCACTTTAATTCATTTCATTCGTGACCCCATGACCAACGGGTATTTGATGCGAGCATTAAGTAAAGGCTAGTGGGAGAGTGCTCTTTTAATGGAGTTTGATACCGCACGTTGAATGGAAAGAAAAAACCTCTGCATTTCATGAAGCAGGTGTATGTGGTCCTTTAAGGTAATCAAAAATCACTGTTTACATGGTAGTCTACACTCTTAATCAGAGTATTGTCATAATCATATTAAAATCAGAGCATTGGTGTCCATGTACGCACTCAATGCAAGTGCCAGATGATGTTGCGAGCTTTCAGAGTCAGTGCATTCCTCTGCCTTTAAGTTGATTCTATGCACCCTCAAATGTGTCATTAAGCTTGACGTGTCTTCCCCCCCTACATGAAATTTTTGTAAAGCATCTCCTTCACGTTGCTGTGTCAGAATCCTTGCTTGTAAAATACACTTTAGAAAGCTTAGTTTAAGCTAATTTGTTGAACGTGATCATGCTGTTGATCATGTTGATCTGAAGAGAGTCGCTCTCGCTCAACAAATGCGCTGTACTGCGTGCATCCGTTCACTAAGCAACAAGAACAAATGCCTGACATTGCCTGTCCATATTCTTCAGTTGTTTAGATTTAAATGTTTAGAGATGGAGTGACAACGCGTACCTATGTGTGCCTTTGATGCACCCCTTGATGCTTCTTACGTTCTTGTCGCAGCATTAGTGGTTCTGAAATTAGGCAACGAAATTCATATGCTGATTTGATTCTGTACATACTGGTTACAAAGGTACCGGTACTAGAATGGCACTGGGTTTCGGTACCCAACCCTACTGTAGTCCACCAAAATGTGCAGATTTTGTTCCCTACTGGAGGCTATAATAAATGATCTGACGGGTGTTTTGAGCTGAAACTTTTCAGACTAATTCTGGAATAAGATGCTCTTTAAGTGTAGAGACCTGTCCTCAGGTCTCTACACTGGCTGCCAGTTACATTCAGAATAGATTTTAAAGTATTATTACTGGTCTATAAATCACTAAATGGCCTAGGACCTCAATACATCACAGATATGCTCACTGAATACAAACCCAACAGATCACTCAGATCATTAGGATCATATAAACTAGAAGTTCCAAGAGTTCAGTCAAAGCAGGGTGAATCGGCTTTCAGCCACTAACAGCACCCCCCGCTGCTGGAATCAGCTTCCAGAAATGATCAGATGTGCTCCAACATTAGGCACATTCAAATCAAGACTGAACACACATCTGTTTAGCTGTGCCTTTACTGAATGAGCGCTGTGCTGCGTCCGACAGATTGCACTATCATGTTTTTCTCTTCTTCTTCATTCTTTTATATCACATTTTACCTGTTTTTATGTTTAGTTTTGTTTTTATGCATTTTTATTATTTGTTTTTATTTTTATTTTACTTGTTTCTTTTATTCTTGTTTATGTAAAGCACTTTGAATTGCCATTGTGTATGAAATGTGCTATATAAATA